ATTGTTTTTTTTTTTTTTAATGCAACACACTTTGACATCATTAATAAAAAAAAATGGTAATATGCATGAACTCCTCGGTTTATGAGCTCATCATATTCGCTCTGCAAGGCATGCTCTCATACTTAGCAGTTTTGCTGTGAGGGAAACCTAAGGCAGACCCAAACACAGTTTCAATAATATGCTGAAGGTCATATCTGGTTTTATCATCGGTTGTCCCTGTCACACTAGAGAAAACTGTTTATAGCCTGGTTCTCTACCCACCCTGTGCCCCACCATGAATACGAACTGCTTAGGGTTAGGGTAAGCCTTCAAGAAGTAAACTTTGCTATAAAGCCTTCCCTAAGTGTGTTGCATGTAAAGTAGTATTTCCTACACCTCAGGGCACACTTTATACTTGCCTCATCCTAACAGTACTCATCTGTTGCTGTCCCCTATCCCCGTGGGCTGTTTCCTTTGCAAATACTGCATTCATGTTGGCATTACCAGGATATTCACTGTTTTGGTGGTTGATAATATTTTATATCCTCATAAAGGCAGCTGAGACTCTGCTAGGAAGACACAATATGTTTTTCCATGCTAGAGTGTCTAAGTCATCCATGATGAGGGCTTCTGAATGAATCTAAAGTGTCACTATTCTAGAACTACAGCCACCTTCAAGGAGGCCAAAGGATGACCCTTCATTGGACTTCATGACTGGGGAGGTCACTGGCTTCTGGAAGGTTCTCCATCCTCTTGGCAGTTGGCATTTTGACACTGTGGACTTTCAGAATGGCCAAAGGGGCCATTGCAATTTTTACATCTCCAGTGTTGAGCAGGGCATTTAGTAAGTGATTACTAAGCAAATGGATACATGATAGAACTCAGCACTGTAGAGAGGTTCAGGGCAAAGAGAAGAGATCTAGAATGAGATAGAAGCAGCCTTCTGCTAACATGTAGGAAGTAAGACTCAGACTCGGGAAGTAGGCCTGGGTTCCCGTTCAGCCTCTGCTGCATGCCTCAGCATATTCTTTACTCTTCTTTTTATCCATCAGCAGACTTGGACTAGGGAGTTGCGGTGTGTCATAAGCCTGCCCTGGTGTCAGCTACTGCATTAGGGACTCCACGGATGCTAATTGACTTTCCCTTTCCTTAGTCATGCAGAAGAAGCCCATGGAGCCCGTGACCCTGCCTTTATCACACACTTAATAGCGAACATGGGAATTTTGATATTTGGTACAATCTGCTTAAATATAACTGCTGTCCATTTGGCAAAAGGCAGTGGCACTTTTGATACTTGATAGGGTTTGTAATCTTCAATCTACTGAAAAGAATCCAGTCTTTTAGTGCTTGTCCTGCTTGGAAGAGGCGTCCCCTGCCCTGTATATTCAATTACTTACTGCATAATAGAACCGCATGTATCCTATATCGTTCTTTCTGTAGGTGAACATTATGTTCCTCAGGTGGTGTGAGAGACTTTGAAGGACCTGTCAGCCACCGGCCTTCCTGTGCAGCACTGTAACCATTCAGTTCACGGTGGCATTTACTTCTGAAGCCCTTGTTCAGAATATTAAAAAGGGCACGCGGCAGTCTTACTTCTCTGCTTCAAGAACTGTGCTTTTGTGAAGCTGAGCCCCGTGGGCTGCTCAGGCAAGTCACTGGCTCCTGTTTAAGAACTGTTTGGAATCTGGCTTGCTGGCATTGGTTAGCAACTGTAACAACTGAGCCCCATCAAGGTGGAATGATTCTCCTTCGTGTTTCATCCCAAGGGAAGCACTATGTTGATAGAACTGGGTAATTCCGGTAGGACTTCTGAGGTCATCTACCACCTTATCTACCAGAACATCACAGTGATTTCCCACCACCTGTGAAAACTGACTGAGGTCTCTCACAAAGTCGGGAAGAGAAGCATTAAGGTTGACTTTATCTAGCTCTATCAACTACTTGTGGATTCTGATGACAAGTTAGGGTTCCCAGGTTCTTCTCTCTCTCTCTCTCTCTCTCTCTCTCTCTCTCTCTCTCTCTCTCTCTCTCTCTCTCCCTGTCTTTGTTTTTTTTGAGACAGGGTTTCTCCATGCAGTTTTGGTGCTTGTCCTGGATCTCGCTCTGTAGACCAGGATGGCCTTGGAACCAGACAGAGAACCGCCTGGCTCTGGCTCCCTAGTGCTGGGATTAAAGGCGTGCACCACTGCTGCCTCGCTCTCATTCTTATATTGAAATGATATCTGGGTTAATTTTATCCAAATGGCTGCTGGAGATCAGGAGACAAGATCTACTGTGGTTTACCAAGAGCAGTTCCCCCTTTGGCTATCTAGACACCATCTCTGTGTGTTATTCTAACTCAGATGATTAGAGAGAGATGTTCCAAAATGTTGCAAGGGGGATGGTGACAGAGACCTAGAGCTCTCTAGTCCTAGCTTCAGTTTCTTAGTATTTGGGGCCTTTTTAGAATTTCCATTTAGGACTTTCTAGATGAGGAGGCAATTGCATTGTGGCCTTTCCCTTTAAGAAGCAATGATTGGGAGTTGAATTTTGGATGCTAGTAGACCAGATTTTCTCACCTGAGTACTGATTAACAGAGTAGATGGGGTGATTCTGTCTGGGGGACACTGGAGGATGATGATTAGCAGCTCTGGCCTACTTCTAGATCTAGCACCACCCTCTGACTTACAACAACCTCAAATACTCCTAGAGTGTAAACTGGTACTGGTACTATGGAAACCAGAGGTCCCTCAAAAACTGAGAAATAAAACTCTCATTAGATCAGATATATTACTCCTGTGCAGATACCCAAAGGTTGCTATATTCTGCTTCCTTGATACTTGCTCATCCATGTTCATAACAGCTCTATTCACAATGGCTAGGAAAGGCATAAGCTTAGATATCAATCACCTGATGGGTGGATAATGAAAATGTAGAGCACACACAATGGAATTTTATTCTGCTGTGAAGAAAAATGAAACTATGAAATTTGCAGGTAAATGGATAAACCTAGAAAAAAAGTATACCAGATGAAGAAACCCAGGCTCAAAAAGATAAATGCTACATGGTTTCGCCCAGATGTAGATCCCAACTCCAAACCTTAAATTTATGTTTAACTGGGCGTACTTGCAGAAGTAAGGGCATCAGAAAAGGGCCATTGGGGCAGGTGATACCTTAAGGGAGGGGAAGATATATGGCACAGGTGATATGAAGACAGGGGGAATGTAGGGAGTGGAAAGTTTAAGCAGGGATGGATGTAGGGGTATGGACAGATGAGAAGGAAGGAGGGAGGGAGAGTTAACTAAAACTAAGGGTACATGAAAAAGCCATTTGGAAATTTACTACTTTGCAAGTCAATTAAAAACAGAAGTGAAAAAAGAGAGCTAGGGAGATAGTCTGCATGCCTGAAAAAAAAAATGCTGTTCCTAGAAACCTGGGTCACTAAGCAAAATTCCTAGTGGCATGTGTGATATATCTCCTTATGAGTTGTTGGTCAGGGAGGTGAGAGAGGCCCTCAAAACAACGTAGGCTCTGATCACTCTTCCTTTTTGCCCACCAGAATTAGTTGAAAAGGCTCCATTGCTGAAGAAACCACACACTTTGGCTGCAGGGTACAGAGAAACCAAGCTTGAACTGAGCTGGCGGCTTCCTTCCTGCTAGCATTGATAGAGCTAAAGGCTTCTGGGGAAGACAAGGCATCAGTGGGCTTACCCAGCTGTCTGCAAATACCAACCTGCTAGGCAAAATGTGTCCACTGATGCTCCAGTGGTACAGCTGTTGTGAGGCTAACCAACCCCTTTCTGATGGGATCAAGGTCCATTCCATGAGGAAGAATTCATGCTTGATACTGTAAAGCCTGTCAAAAACCCACAGCTAAGGAGGTATTAGGTCCCAGAGGTGAACTCAATAATGTTGTTTAGCTAAATCATCATAGCACCATGCTGCCTTTTAAATATTTATGTTTATACCCATAGACAAATGCTACTCCAGAGACAAATGGTTACTTGAGGTGCTGAGAACAAGTGACAGTTGAATGTTTGATCCCAAATAGGACACTTATACTATCACCTTTAAGGTCAGGGAACAGCATGGAAGAGGGAGACAGAAAAAAAAAGTAATGAGAATTGAAAGATAAGGAGAGGACCTGTAAAATACAGTCATGCAACCAATGTAATCATGACTTCATGGCAGCCGAGGCTGTCTGTGATGGGCCTACCCAAGACTGGGCCTATGAACAGTCTATCATGGATGTGGGTGGAACATACAGGGCCATAGGCCTTGATGCTGAACTATTGGCTACTACTGATGAACATTGCCTTTAGCTGTATAATCACTGAACAGCCTACCAGGCTCTAGTGCATAGTTCCAAACTCAAGGTCACACAGACAAGCCTGGTAGTTGGTCACAGCAACAACAATAACAACCAAGTCATTAATTTGCAAAGAGGACTTGTCAGGAAAAACACAGGGAAATAATAGAGGTGGGGAGAGATAGGGGTCATAATCAGATTTCATACTATAAATGTATGAAATTGTCAAAGAACAAACTCAATGAAATTAAAAAAATAATAAAAACAAAATTTCTAAGCCAGATATCCCTTTGCTGGGGGGTGGGTGGGTGGGTAAGGGGCCACATTATCCATGGTTGAGGATCAATAAAATGGATTTGAACTTTGGGAGGCCATCATCATCATCATTATCATCATTTATTTGGCAGCGTTAGGGATGGAACCCATAACTTTGAACATACTAGAGAGTGTCCTATAACCCCAGATCCTGGGAGATTTTTCTGTGGTCACAAGAAAGCTTCTTTGGGTATATTTCAGCGTCTTGTGGCAGTCCTAAGACACTTTTAACCTGTGAGTTTCCTGTGGGGTACATGTCTGATGTACTTGTAGGTTGACAAAGGATGGACTAAGAATAAAAAAAAGCAAAAGGCGAGGGGGGAGGGAGAGGGAGAAGAGGGGCAGAAGAGGGAGGGCAAGGGATGGAGAGAGAGATACAGGCATGCATCCGGCTCTTCTTCCTCCCCTCTCCCTGTAGGGCCGGAAGAGAGAAGGTGGAATGCGGAAGGAGCAGGCATGCTGACCTGGCGATGGTGCTCTGTGGAGGAACTCGGGGCTAGGGCTTTGGAGCTGCAAGTCATCCTGATACTTCAAGCAGACGTTAGCAACGCACGGTCGGCAGCACAAAGGTGGGTTTTGGAGAAGGTGAGCTATCTGGCAAGGTGCTCGGGGAAATTGCCATGTAGGCCCAGCCCTTTCATCACCACCAAGCCTCGGCCCCGCTCCCTGCCACGCAGCCACACAGTTGCCTCATGCTGCCCTCTGCCTGCTCCAAGCCTGCTTCATCCAGGCTGAACCATCTGCTGCGACATTTCCTGTCTGGCTTCCAGCTCTCCTTCCCTGTCTGCTGATTTCAGCTATTTGGAGGGTTAAGATTAAACACGCAAGTACTTTACTAAAATAAAGAGAGAGAGGAGCCTGCAGGTCTGACCTGGGCAGGGGATTCTGGCTCTTCGAAGGGAAGCTTGCTAGTCCTCCGTCAGGGGAGTTTTGGAACCAAGAGCATTTGCCTGCCTTCTCTGGCTTCCCTGAAGTGAGCATGGGTAGTGTATTTTCTAGCCATGGTCCCCCCCTCCCCCCTCCCCCGGCCCCCATTCCTCTCTCACTTGGCTTTTGTAAGTTAGAGATCTCACTTCCAAAGAGGCTCTACACAAGATGAACTGTGAAAAGACCCAAATTTCTTAGCTTGGCATGTAGTGTGTTTCTTAGCAATCTGTCTTCCTAACCTCATCTCTGTTCATTCCCTCAAGTGCTAGTAGAAAAGATGGACACAGCCTCTGGCCCCAGCTCCTCCCCTAAAAACAGATAGTGCAGCAAGCGGCCACGTAAGAAACCAGACGAAAACAACACATCGAACCAGGGTAGGCTCAGGAGGCCTGGGAGTGCCTTGTGTGTGGAATTAGTCTGGGGATTAGTTCCTGGCTGGCAGAGTGTGGAGACCTCCTGTCTTTGCTCTTTCCAGCCCCATATGCTAACACCTGGCATGCTTTGTCATCTGTCTCTCACTTTGGACACGACAGTCTTCTCTTTAGAATGGTTTATCTGTCTGACAAACTCCTAGTACCATTCACAACCCTGCTTACCTCTTATTACCAGGCAAATGCCTCTGACCGCCCGTTGTTCTGCCTCTGCTTTGCTGTGGCTCCCTGAGCTCCTGCTAAATTAAAGTGTATTCCTCTTTCTTTTGAGTGAAGTCCTTATAAGTCACCTCTATGGCAATAAATCACACCAATTTGTGATGTTCTGCTGATACGCCAATCTTCTCCATTAAGTGTTCCTCAAAGGCAAAGAAGTAAAGTCCTTTTTTAACCCCAGCTTCTGGCAGAGAGCCTGACATGCGGAAGTGTTCAGTATCACTGAATGGATCCATTCAAACTGGGAATAGCAGGCGGTTCCCTGCATTCTTTCCTGTATTAGATGGTGAGACTGAATGTCCTCATAGAAGGACCCATAAAGCATATATGTCCAGTGTTACTACCACCCAGATCAAGAAATAGTTATCTACCAGAACTGAAGATGCCACTAAGACAAAGACTCAAAATTTTATATTTGACCAGAAACTACTGGTGTCTTCTAAACAGGACTCGTCTTGAACCAGGCACCAGATATTTTAGAGACCAAACACTTGGCCCAAAGGCAAGCAAGTTCCAGTTAAACATCCCTTGGCCAAGGTGGCCTAAAATCTAACTGTAGGGGACTTTATCTTCCCAAATCTCTGGCACCTTCCTTCCTTACACACTGCTTTCAGGCTTTTGTGGACTCTGTCACATTCTAGGACAATTAATGTAGGTGCTTGCTGGGAAGGTCTGCTAATTGTTAACCTGTGTGCAGCTCAGTCTATTTGTTGGATGCTGTTCATGCAGATCGGTTAAAAATCAAAATGGGTGTCCTTGGCTCCATTTTTGGAGGAGATCAACCATCTGCCTCACTGTGTTTGGTCAGAACACTGTGTGTTTGGAAAAGCTGTGGTTACAGGATGTACAGCAATTACCTCCAGTGTGGCACAGCTCGGAGCAGGGGGACTCTGCAGGGCCCATTCTCTCCTGCTGCTGAGCTCACACACACTCTCTCCCTTTCTCAGCGCTCTCGCAGTGAAGGCCCTCCGCTCTCACTTCCTATTTTTTCACCTCTTTACAGATGTCCAACAACTAATCTCTGTGTCTATATTAGAATGATGGCTTTGTCCTGGATATATTTCTGGAATCTGGCTGTAATTTTCTAAAGAACAGACTCAGCTAAGTTTCAGGTTGTTGTCAACCCCTGGATTCCCTTTCAGGATGTTTCTCCCCTTGACTCTTTACCCCAAGCATGCATGTGTTATGAGTCCATGATCATGCCTGCCAGTTTGCAGTTCCTTTCCATTGTCATGACTGACGTTCCAGGCACCCTGGTTTCTCTAGCTCCTTGGGCCTGTTCATGGAAACCTTCTTGTTTGTTTGATTATTTAAAGCAGTCGACAACACTGCTTTTCTCTGTGTCTTGCTTCGGGATGTTTAAGCACGCACTGGAGACTGAGTTGCTACTTTGTGCCAGACACAGCTTGAGCCACTGAAGCTACAACAGTGAACAGATAGACGTGGTTTTTGCTCCCAGGGAGTTGGCATACTAAAGGAAGCTTTTTGTTCTAGGGCTGAGCTGTCCGATATGGCACCCACTCATGATATACAGCTGCTCAAGTTCAAATCTCAATTAATTAAAATGAGACAAAATAGAAATTTTAGTCCTTCATTCACACTGGCCACATTTCAAGTACTCAGAAGCATGGGAGACCAGCAGTTATGGTACCAGATAGCACACTTCTATCACAGGAGTGTTCTAGAAGAATATTCTAGAACCACTGTTGTCCCTTGAATTTATAAAACACTTGTAGCCATACAGAGAAATGATTTAGGATGAAAAGGCTACAGATCATAATTCTTCACATGTAATTTTCCTTAGAAGCATAGTTTATGCACAGTATTCAGGAACCTGTACATTTATTTTTATTGCGAATACCCAGTTTTTAATTACAAGATGGCTAAACTAATGTGGTGGGATAAGATTTTGAGATATAGTTTGCTCACTGTTTCTGAGGGCTCTGCATTAACCAGAAATGGAAGGAAACTACTTGAAAGAAACCAGTGTCTGTACCAGACATGTTATTCCTTAAATTAGAGAGAATAAGCGTGTTCTTAGCACTTATACTGTACTGGGTATTTGCGATTTGGAGATGACTAAAAGTATAAGGGAGGATGCACCTAAGTTATTTTATATAAAGGACCAGAACATCTGTGGATTTGGGGAGCCACAGGACAAGGTGAAGTCCTGAAGCCAACTCCTCATGGACATTGATGATGACAAGCCATCACTTTCCCGTCCTGTCTTTTGAACGGGTGTTAGCTCTGTTCTCACAATTTCATGGACAGGAGAGTTATCATTGAGAACCCAGAGAGAGCCTGTGTATCTTTCTGACTATTCTCTTACAATTCCCCAAGACCTGGGAATGTTTGTAGAGGGGAACACAGAAAGAAAGATTTGGGGAGTGTATTCAAATGTCCTGGCTGAAGCAGGGCTACAGAAGAGAGAGAGAGAGAAATGGGAGTCTGCACACACATGTGAGTGAGGACGAGAGTGAATCCACCTGTGCTTTTTTGTGGGACCAGGCTGCATGATCCCGGGAGTTCTGTGACAAGTAGCAGAGTTTCTGGGAGAGGAAGTTTCTAGAATCTGGGACTGTGGAGAAACACTCTAACTTTGCAGGACTGGAAGAGTCACACTGACATTCAGCAGGAAGCTATATGGACTGATGAGTTAGCCCTGCATCCTGCCCCACCTATCCTAACCCATAGTCCACAGCCTCAGACAGTGATCTCCTCCCCATTTTTAAGAGCATAAATTCAAAGTAGAAATAAATGGAATTATAAGGTAAACATCAGCTTCCCTGTATTTGTGGTCTGGGAGCAAGATCCACTTCAGAAGTTGTGTGGTTTCCTCACACACACATGAACCCTGGTAACAACTGATGTCCTCCTTGCTGGGCCATTTTATTTGAAGCAGTAGGCTAACACATTCCTAGGAAGTAAGCACATCTAATGCCTTTGGAGACACCTTGAGTAGTGAGGAAACTGACTCCATGCTGGAGTTCAACTGGCCGCTGTAGGGAGGAAACCAATATACTTGCATGGCTTGTTGGCTTACCCAGGAGTCTAATCAGTCTGTGTGGCTGATCTGGCCTGCCTTCTGCTCTTGTAAATTAAGTTTTATTGACACATAGTCACACACACTGGTTTACTGATTGTCTTGGGCTACTTTGGGGGTTACAATGGTAACATGGCAAACTATAACAGAGACCATATTACCCTGAGACAACATCTTGTCATTTCTGGAAAAATTTTACTCACACCAGCCTGGCCTGGTTTACAAATTCCTTAGAGACAGGACTATGTCTGAATATTTCCCTATTTCCTCACAGGCCTTGTGGGTACAAATCAAGAAATTAAGAATGCAGAATAAAAGATCCTAAGACTGGAGTGGCTATTTCAGCTTCAAGTATGACTTCCTGAAGAGACTCCTGGGAACATCATGCCTTGCATTACAGCTACTGATCTCAACTATTAAAGAGGGTGCAGTCATGTTTCTGTCAGCCATGATGCAATGCCTTTTCTTTTCCTTTTGGGTCAGGGTCTTACTTTTTCCACAGCCTCCCCAGTTACTGGGATTTCAGGTCTGTGCCACCACGCACAGCTCTGTAATGCTGGAACTTATGTGTGACTTGACCTTCCAAAGTCATGTACTGGAGGCTTGGTATGCTGTATGGTGATGTTGAGATAGGGAAACCTTTAAGAGCTGGGGCCCACTGGAAAGTAGTTAGGTTCTGGAGACAATAATCCCTTTGGGCAGTCATGCGGAGTGGGTTCACTCTCTCAAGAGTGGAGATTGATAAAGCAGGGCCAGCCTGGTTCCTCACTGGTCTCTTGTTTCTCGTGATACCATGTGATTTCTTCCTCACACGTTCCCACCATTATGACAGCATCCATCATGAAGCCCTTACCAGAGCCCAGAAGATGCCAGTGTCAAGCTGCTATGTTCATGAAGCTGCAGAGCTGAGCACACAAGCCCTCCCTCCCTCCCTCCCTCCCCTTTTTCTTTGCTTTTCTCTCTCTCTTAGAGGGATTTTATTAAACTTGTGAGTCTCCAGTTTCAACCTTCAAGTGCTGGGATAATAGGTGTGCATCACCATGCCTAGATAAATCTCTTTTATTGTCAAGTCCCTAGCCTTGGGGATTTTGTTATACCAATACAAAGCTAAGAAGAGGGGAATGGGGGAGATGATTGTCACACTGTAAATGTGGGTGGCTGGATCAGCCATCTGCTGTATATGTAATCCAGGATGCTCATGGTTTCCCACCTTGCTGGAAAGGAGTCTCCAGTGTGAATAATTTGAGTTTTAGCTGAGGAGACTTAGAGTCTCAGGGCCTATCTCAGGCTGGCTTCTTCCAGCAGCATCACCCAGGAAAGCATTAAAATGAGTGTGATTTATTTACTAAAGAGAATACACACAGTGGAAGCAGAAAGGGGGGGGGGATAAAAGGCAAAAAAAAAAAAAAAAAAAGGTAAAGCCTGAGCCCACACCTGATCCCACTGGGATCTCCAGGGCATGGGTTGTACCTCATATTCAGGAAGGTATTATGCAGCTTAAGGATGGGAGTTTGGGGGTTCAACAAGAGTCAAAATAACTAAGCTTTTCCATTCCCCGCATCTAACAGGTAGAAGCAGGGCTCAGGATTCCCTGGGATACCCCAACCCTCAGGTCACCTTAGGTTCTCTGGGTAATGAAGAGACTGCAAGCATTCTGGGGTGGTTATCTGAATGTGGCAGGTGAGCCCAGAATTGGAGACTACGGAAACAGGGGGGGGTGCAAGACCTGGAAAAGGGGCTGAGAGGGAACCTGGACAGTGAACTAATGGTATCCACCACATTGCCAACTGGTTGCCTATGTTTATTAATGTGCTATGAGATTATACATCAAGTTAGCTCTGTCTCTGTCTCTGTCTCTGTCTCTGTCTCTGTCTCTGTCTCTCTGTCTGTGTGTGCGTGTGCGTGTGCGTGTGCGTGTGCGTGTGTGTGTGCGTGCATGCGCGTGTGTTTTGAGACAGCTCTCACTTTAGAGCTCAGGCGGCCTCAAACTCAAAGTCCTCCTGCCTCTGCCTCCTGAGTGCTGGAACTGCAGCCTTGCATCGCCATGCTTGGCTTCTCCTTGCCATTTCTGTAACGTGCACACTCCATTTTATGAAAGAAGAACCACCTTGTTTCCTCACCTTATTGTTTTCCCTTCAAAAATAAAATGATTTATCTGGGAATATAAAAATGTAGGCTTTTTGTTGTCGTCGGGAAAGTTTGCCCTGTTCACAATACTTATAAAATGGAAACAACCTATATGTCCTTCAACTGATGAATGGATAATGAGAATGGGGTGCATTTACACAATGGAATGCCATTCAGCTATACAGAAAAATGAAATTGTGAAGTTTACAGGTAAATAGATGGAACTGGAAAATACGATTCTGAGTGAGGTACCCCAGACCTTGAAAGGCAAAGGCTGCATGTTCTCTCTTATTTGTTTCTAGCTCAGAATCTTTAGATGTGAGTAGAAAACCTGGAGTAACTGTATAAGCCAGGAAGGTAAGAGGGACCATGGAGGGCTCTGTGGAGAGGAGGAGCTCTAGAGACAGGGAGAGCAGGACACAGGTGTTATAAAGAGGGAAATGGGAAATGTGGGGGTGCGGTGAACTGGGGAGGGGGAGGGAAGACAATATAGTCACAGAAGGAGGGAAAATGATAAGCAAATCAACAGCCTGTCAGATGTGATTTTTTTTTTTTTTGTCACATCTTTAGCGGGGCATAAATCTTACATGTTCTCTGTAGAAGGCATTCCCTTTGTCCTAAGTCGAGTCCTTTCATACTTCAAAGGATTCTTGGCCAAAACACACTCAGATTTGGGGTCCCAGGCTATGGTATGCCTAGAGATTCACTTGGAAAATCCAGAGACTCCTGGCATATTCTCTTTCATCTCTCCAGCGTAAAGAGCTCAAATCCTGCTCTGTCCTCAAACTGCAACCTCTCTTCACCCTGTTGGGGGCTGCCCTTCACTGGCTTAGCTCACTCATGCTTTCTTTGAGATGGTAGCTAGGACTGAATTTGATGTCCCAGGCACAAAGTCCAACAGCTTGGGTTAGATCCTTGTATTCCCCCTTTTCCCCATATGATTATAGACGATGGTACATTTAACATCATTTGGGGTTGCCCTGCCTCCATGCATGTGTCTCTACTATTTGACATGCAGTGGTTACTTTTCTTAGCCTGCAGCCCATCACAGCTAGGCAGAGCAAGGAGAACTGGTGTTCTTTTACAATCGCTAGTTTTATCTCAAAGCATCCTTAGTAAACTTGCTTCTGCTTTATCGACGCACACATAATCTCTTTCTGCAGGTCATTACTGCTGGTTTGGTCTCCATCATTGCTGCTGATTTTGGAGGCTTCTCTTGCCCTAACCAAATCCTACTTTTTAAGATAATTTTTTGTACTTGTTAAAGAGGACGAGATAAAACATAACTTTTAAGGAAGTGTACTGACTTGTCTTTATTAAAAAGGACAAATACTTCTTATATTGCTTTTCCCTACCAATAAATTAGCAATTAGGTGACAAAATAGTTCCCATAGCCAGATGGGAACTCAATATTTCTTCTCATTACAAATTTTGGGGGGTTAGTGTAGAGGCTTAGGAGAAAGCTACGGGAATTTAAGATGTATTGTACCCCTGGAATTTTTTTTCTGTGAGGCTACCTAGGACTAACTTGGAGGGGTCTTGATAGGGTAGACAATATATGGGCTTGGAGTCATGCCAACCAGGGTGGATCAAAAGAGCTCTGTTTAAGGTACTAGAGTAACCAGCCTTTGAAGAGAGATCTCTTCAAATGGTTAGAGAACTAGCCATCTCAGGAGAGGCTGGAACCCTAGCACAGAAATGAAAATTCTTGGCAAAAAATTACCAACGACTCTTGTAAACGTCCAGCTAGCAGACCCTTTTCTCTTGGTATTCTTTGCCACTTTCGCGACTCTGTTCCTCACATCCTACGCCAGCCTCTCTTCTCTACTTGTGTTCTCTACTTGTGCTCATCCATCACGACTTTCACAGGAAAGGACATTGATCCTAAAGTGTGCATTTCCAACTCAGCTCTTTTTAATGAATCGACTTTATTTATAAGTACGTGTATGTGCCTGCTTGTCTGTATGTGTAGAGCATGGATGCAGGTACCCCCGGAGGCCAGGAGAGGGTATCAAATCCCCTGGAACTGGAGCTACAGGAGTTTGCGAGCTGCCTGAAGTAGGTGCTGGGGACTGAATTTGGGCCCTCTGCAAGAACAGCAAATGCTAATCACGGAGCCGTCTTTTCAGTCCTGCTTTTCAAATTTAATTCGTTTCGTAGTTCAGCTCATCCTATGGAGCTTCCTGGCTTCCCTGGACTCTCTATAGGATCTACAAACTCAATCCAACCCCAGTGGGACACCAGCCCCAGATATATTTATCTTTCCAAGTTTCTCAATGATTTTTATACTTTAGACAATGTCAGGGATCTCAGGGCAAGCTCCAATTCCCTAATTTTGAATCCCTACCCACATCTTCTATATCCTCTGCACCATCTGATTCAGGCTCAGGTCTTTCTAATTTCCCTTCCTCCAGTCTCATGCTTCCCATCTTTTCCATCACTACTGTATCAGGGATGTTCTTTCATCCCTCACTTCCCATCTCCCTCCCTCCCCAGGATCTCCCTCTCCTTCTTCTTCCAGACCCATCTGTCCTACTTCCTGTCTCCTACCTCTCACTCTACAGTGAGCCATACTAATTTTTTTTTTTTTTTTTTTTTTGTGCCTGGAGCTTGCCACTCTGGGTCTCAGTTTGGAATGCTATTCTTTCTTCACACCCCTGCTCCCATCTGCCTAGTACACATCTGCTCGGATTTCAGGGCTCTGAGATGCAGCCTTCTTCCCTGCAAGGCCTCATCCATTGCACCCATGCTCCTACTCCATGTGTAACTGACTGACTTCCTCTTTGAGCTTTGCTTCGGCACATAGCTGTCAATGGCAGTTTGCCCCTCCTGAACTGTAAGCTCCTCGGAGGCAATGTCTCTGTATGTTTGTCTCCAGACTTTGCTTTTCAGCTCGTAGGCAGGAAAAAACAAAACAAAACAAAACAAAAAAAACAAAACAAAAAAAACCCTTTGAATGAGGAACGGATTCTAAACAGAGGCCAACCTGTGAGCAAATGACAGTGGCTGTCATGATGGCGGAATCCATACAGGTCACAGCAGTGACCTAATGCAGAGATAGCCCTGTTCTCTGTAACTCTCACAAGCCCAAGTTGGCAAACAAGTCACGTGGGTATTCTTTACAGCGTGAGCTGACTTTTCCAGAGACAGCCCTGTGTTGGCCAGCTTCCTTAGCAGTTTGTGAAAATGCAACCCAATGAAACAATTCCCCTTCTCCCCAAAGTTGGCACTGGCCCAAGCTTTGCTTTCCCAGAGTCTGTTGTTTCCTGGTCGGGCAATGCACCCTATGCTACAGCCGTTAGGTATCCGTGTGCTCTG